ACCTATTGTGATGTATGAGAGTCTTTGTCTGTCGTTCTTGTTGGTTTGCTTCGCTGTTGATGTTGGCGAATTTGTGGGGGTTTTGTTTGGTTTCTCTGTTTATGAATTTTTGTATGGAGTGTGTATTGGGGCGGGGTCTGCTGTTTCATCTTACCTAATTTTTTTTTAAAGTGAAGGATATCTTTTGTTGCGTGTAAGTTGTGTGTGTGTGTGTGTGTGTGTGTGTGTGTGTGTGTGAGTGTGTGTGTGTGTGTGTTTGTGAGTGTGTATGTGTATATGTGCGTATATGTGTGTGTCTCTGTGTGTTCTACATACTGTGTGTGATGGTTCCCACTGCTGTCATGTCTATCATGGCCTCCCTCGTCTTCTGGATCCCGCCAGTCGGTTACCATGGAATGACCCTTAACCCTATCCGTACGCGTTTGGGTCATTTTGTACCATCGGGGTTGTATTCTTCACACTTTATAATACTTCTAGTATGTACGAAGATCGCTTTGAAACTTTCAATATTTCTTTTTTTACAAATCATTGTGACAGACTGCTATGCAAAATGTACGGATCGGATTAACGAGTAAATTTTCTCTTTGGAAAGTGGTGGCGCAGAGTTCCCCGCGTCGTATTGATACGATAGTAAAACACGACGTACGGATAGGGTTAACTGGTGGCACAGAGTTCCCCACGTCGTATGGATACAATAGTAAAACACGACGTACAGATAGAGTTAAGTGGTGACACAGAGTTCCCCACGTCGTATGGATACGATAGTAAAACACGACGTACGGATAGGGTTAAGTGGTGGCAGAGAGATCCCCACGTCGTATGGATACGATAGTAAAACACGACGTACGGAGAGGGTTAAACACGTCACAGAATTTGTATAAAGTGCTTTTTATTCAATAAATGTACTTTTTACTCTCTTTTTTTCTTCGCTTGTACTGGTGGGTGTCGCGGGGAGACACAGACGTCCGTCTGCTCTGCAAGGCGAGTGAGTGGCCTGTAGGAGGGACATCCCGTGAGCTCTGCTGAGGGTGTCTGTCATAGATTTTATTACAACGACTGCATTTAATACGACTTTTAATATTATGTCTTTCACATGTTTTGATAATTTAAAGATGAAATAAATTAGATTAAATTAAATTACTGTATTATCATTGTAAGAAAGTATGGTCCAAATTATATTGAAGTCTGTATCTTATCTGTCTGTTTCCAGAGATATGCTGCCTCGCAGTATGAGCCACGTACCTCGCCTTGTGGAAGTGGCTCTCTTCGCCATGGCCCAGGGTCTGTTCGCCATGATAGCTACCATGTTCGTCATGCGCAGACACAAGAGAGAACAGGAAGACGAAGCCGAGCAGAACGACACATTAGAAGAAGAAGCCAACGCACGTCTCGACATTTTGGAAACAAACCCAAGCTTGGCTCAGAGCCATGAGAACAAGGACAAAGACTTAGGTATCGGAGACGCTGATGTGAAGAACAACCTAAATGAGAAACCCACGGAAACAGAAATAAGATGCAAGATAAGAGAGTTGAGGAGAAAGATTTCGAGATTCTTTTCTAGAGGCATCAGACTCAGAGTCTTGCCGGAAGTGACGACGTGCCGAAACTGCCAGAAGCGGAAGCAGAAAAGCAGAAGGGGTCGATTCTATGTGACTGCGAGGATGTGGGACAGGATCTTTTTCTTCGCCTCTGCCATCGTTGGTGTTGTTTGTTATGTACGTCTATGGTATTTGTGGTACGTGATGTCGGGCCAAACTGGTATGTTTGAACCAGACATGAGGAAACATTTGTGAGGCATCGTGGAGAAATCAGGCGCTCGTCAAGATAGTAAAATCGAAGAAATCGGCAATGTTTTTGGCCGAGGGGCAATTTTTTTCCAATTTTATTTTTTTGGCTCAACACCTTTTATGTCCATTTAGGAACCGATTTCTGTGTGAATTTGTCTGAAAATGTTGATTAAAGGTAGAAAAAATATAAAATGTCAGTTTCCGTGGACTCTTAGGCTATGTAAATAACCATACTTTGACGACCATTTTCTCGCTAATTTTACCTCTGAAACCAGGCAACCCTCACCTCCTTCAATAACAAATATCTCGACTTGTATTCAAAATAAATTGGTGTTTCTTTCCTCTAAAACAAGGCAAATGAACTATCTTTAAGACGATACCAATAACTCCACATGCCCGAAAACTGACGAGTGTCTGATTCCACCGCGTTGTGACACATTTATGAATTTAGTGGCGTCGGTGGCCTAGCTACTGGTTGGGCGGCTCTATCAGACTTGCAACCATCAGGTTGTGGGTTCGAATCCCGTCAGTCAGGGGCCTGACGTTGTGTCTTGAGAAAGGCACTTTACACAAATGTTCTTCGCCTCATCCAAGTGGGTACCTGTCTGAAGATCTTGAGCGCGCTCATATGACTTTAGCAGTTGCGAGCGCCGTAAAACCCTATACTAATACTAATACTAGAAGATCTTGTGAGTTTATTAATCAGCTGCTAGCAATGTACGCTTCCCGAGAAGCCGAGAATGTTTTTAAGTGTTCTGAGGTCTGTTGGGGGTAATAATAATCTTGCAATTGTAAAGCGCATAGAGCACGTTCTAGAGCGTGGATATGTGCTATGTAAATGCAATCATCATCATCATCATCATCATTACTGTTATTGTTACTATTGTAATTGTTATTTATTATTATTTTGTTGTTGTATAAATAATAAATAATATATATATTATTATTATATATTATATTATTATTATATTATTATTATTATTATTATTATTATTATTGTTAAAATTGTTATTCTGTTTTTATTATTATTATTATTATTATTATTATTATTATTATTATTATTATTATTATTATCGTTATTATTTCTTGTGCTAATACTGATACAGCCGAGTACAGCATATACATTCCCTGTCCAATCGTGTCTGTGATTTCATCGAAAACTTACCTCTTGTCACGTGTTATTTTCCACATTCCAACTTTTCCTCCTTTGTACGAGTAAGTTGTGTCATCAAAGTCTTTAGCATCTCAAACTTTCAAATAACTCTGATTCTATTGACCTATGTGCATAAAATACACATCAAATTAAGTAGAAAGGTTTGATCCAAGCAGAAAACATTACAGTCAAGTCCATTTATAACAGCCTCTGTTATTACAGGAACTTGGGTATAACAGTGATAAATCAAATCCCCGTTTGTTTGTTTTTTCTCTATAAGTGTAGGTAATATGAAGATAAGATAAGATACATCTTTATTGTCCAGATCCTGGCACATTGGTTTGGTGTTTCACCACGTGCACGCACACACACACACACACACACACACACACACACACACACAAACACACACGCGCACGCACACACACACACACACACACACACACACACACACACACACACACGTGCACACACATGCACACACAAGTAGGCTTACAATCACATGCATAGAATAAATGAGCAGCAATATAAACAACAATAATCGTAAACTCTGACTATAACGGGATTCGATTTGCGCAGACTCGGATATAACAGTGATCTTGCAGCGCATGAACTTGCTTTCAATCCGTCAAATTATTAAAATTTGTCTCCACCAAGACATTTCGCCTGTTTGTATGATCGCTTGCCTGAACACAAATTTTAAAACATATACCCATCACCCCCCCCCCCCCAACCCCACGCGCGCGCGCACACACACACACACACACACACACACACACACACACACACACACACACACACACACACACACACACACACACACACACACACACACACACAAAAAATAGTGTTGGGCTCACTGATCGATTCCGTCTCAGTGTCAGCAAAACAGCACCCTGGAAAAGGATCTGCGGTAATCGAATATATATAAAGTAAGCTGAAGGTGCAATGGAACCAAAGATAGTAAATAACAAGATGGGCCACTCAGCCAAAAAAGTGTCCGCCGGAAGTATGCTCTTTGCTTCAGATGGCGCTGCAGTCTGTTTTGAAGCTCTCTTTCGTTTTTCCAGAAGAATAGGAATAGCACCTCCCTGCGTGCGCAGATCGACTGCTGTTCATCAGCAGTTCGGGTACGTTCAGTGCGGAGTTTTAGGCTTTTTTTTTTATTTTAATGACCTCTCGCCTTTCATTCTAAAGTCAAATTAACGAAGAAAACCATCACTCTTTCCTCCGGAAGAGGTTTTTTTGTCAGCGTAACCATTTTTTAAAAGCCTTCTTCCGAAATTTATCCCAAAACTTGCTAGTTACACTTTGATTTTTTAAAACTCAAGTAGGATAACTCTGTTCGCAAAGAGTGCGCTTTTGTGAAGAGGGCGCCACCAAATTTTGAGGACACTTTTTTAATTGGCTCAAAGAGAGAAGTGGCTCATCTTGTTATGTACTATCATTGATGGTACTGGTAGTTTCCCTTGACAACGGTTATTACAGGACTCGCTTATAACGGGGAAAAACTGCCGGTCCCGTCTGTCCTGTTATATCCGAGTTTGACTGTATTATAGTGCGGTCAAAAATTCGTGGCACAACTTATTGTCAAATATAGTGTAAAGTGCATAGAGCTTGCTTTCGAGAGGGGATATGCGCTATACAAATGCTATTTATTATTTATCATTAAATGTTTCCTCAACAATCGACGAAAATAATGTAATAAAGTCTCCAGCTTTTGCACAATGTTTTATCTCTATGAATAAGATCAATTTGTTGGGGTTCGGTAGATCTTTGTTACGACTTTAAACAACAAAGTGACGATGTGAGCCAGCTGAACTAGAGCTGGGCGAAGAATCAATTCCGGAACCGATTCCCACGACTAACGCAACAGAATAAAAGTTCCCTTTCACAAAACCCAACGGTTACCAGTTTCTTTAATAATTATAATCTTCTCTTTTTAGAGAATCTTTTTTTTTTTTAAGTTGATACTTCGGAGTGTTCCGAAATCAAAGTTATCCTAAACTCTGAAGATGTTCAGAGCCAACCAGGTAACCACGGGAAGAAATCACATCATTAGAAAGAAAGTAATTGGGATCGGTTCCTAGCTTTCAATTTAAATCGGAAACCTAGCCGCCCAGCACTAAGCTGAACTAGTGTGCCATATAATATTAAGAGTTAGCCCGTTTTAATTAAACAGGTGTTTTATGAAGTCTAGGTTTATGGGGCTTATTAACTTCTAGTGTCATTTTTAAAAGTACTGTAACAGTAATCACAGTTTTTACAATTTTACAGGAGAGCCCCCCTCTAAAAAAGAAAAGAAAAATGAATGCTGTTACCAAGAAAACAACACACTTGCTTTAAAAATAAAATGGAAGTTATTTTCACAAGTGTATTCTTGAAAACATTGATTTGGAATGTTTGCCAAATGTTTGTTTTCTTGGTACGAACATTCAGTTTTTTTGGCTTCCTTGTAAATTGTAGAAACTGCATATATATACATGTACTGTATTCTGAAGAGAAAAAAAAATACTTATTTAATAATGTTAAATGTTATGTGCATAGACTTATGCTTATTTTAAAAAATGTTATAGTAGTTAATGTACGATGTCTCTCTTTGTTTATTCTCATAATAATATTATAGAAATCTAGTCGAAATTGTGTTATATTCTTATACTATCATGTTGTTGTATCTTACGTTTACTGTTGTTATCGATAAGCTTACCAATAAAATTGCAAGTTGTCGTTGCTTGTGATTCAGAAGTCGTATTAGAGGTTACATCTATGACAAAAAGACAAAATCAGAGTATATCTAATTCAGTAAGAGTAAAAAAAACTTATCTTCGCTTCAACGCTCCTAGTAAAAGCCTGATTTTATAACAAAGTTTAAAAAAAAACAAGCATTCTGTTTTGTAATTGCAGGCACGAAATCGTTTGTTTGAGGTCCACTTTCATTTCGTTTAATCTGCTCTCTGAACTCAGTCCCTTCTCCAATGCTGAGTTTCATTTTACTGCGAGTTATATCCACAAAAACGGCCAGAACATGACTGCTTTGTTGACATAAACATATTCTGAAAGCGAAATGTGCACGTCCCAGAGCGGAAAAAGAAGAAGAACATAGCAGAAAAGAAAGAAAGAAAGAAAGAAAGAAACAAAGAAAGAAAGAAAGGAAAGAAAAGAAAGAAAGAAAGAAAGAAGGGTTCCCAAGAAAGAAACAAACAAACAAAGAAACAAACAAAGAAAAAAAGATAGAAAGAAAGAAGTAAAGAAAGAAAAACCAACCCAAAACAAAAACAAAAACAAAAAAAATACAGACGAGTCGTGAGCCGACTCGACATTAATTTCGGCTGAAAGCTTCCGGTTCTCAGAATAATGGATCCGATGAAAAATGGGCGTATCGGCATGACCGTCTCCTTCACCTGTAACATTAACAGTATTAGTTTGTAACTTGTGCACACCCTTTAAAAATACATGCTTTTCCCCACAGTGCTCGAAACCTGTGTGTTATCCATTAATGTCAAGCTTTTATTGTTGTGTAATTATTTGATTTGATGGGGTTTTGTTTTTGTTTTTTTGTTTTTTAAAGAATTTTAGAATCCACGTCCAGCAAGCGAATATGTGTGTGTGTGTTCTAGGGTGAGTGAATGTGTGTGTGTGTGTGTGTGTGTGTGTG